GTTTAATAATACCTTCCATTTAAACTACCAAAACGGTGAAAGGGTGTATTCTGAGTTAAAGGTTACATGTGGAACGGGTCGGCTATTTAACTAAAACCAAGATCATTGAAATTGAATATTTACATTAAGGAAGAATGAAATTTTCCTTATCATGTATAGATAAACATTTTTTGTGGAGTGGCGTTAAAGAATGTTTGGCATAGCATCTATTGTATTGAAGTTTATAAGATTAATATTAACCTCTTCGTCGTCCGTAACGCATCTAGCGAGTTTAAGTGAAACTTGTGCAGGGCGGACGTAACGTGCTTCAAGCGTTCTTCTACATTTTAAAACTTTAAAACGCTTTCTAAATGATTACTTGTTTGAGTTTTTATTTTTGTTTGTTCTAATATCTCCTAGAGGGAAGTACTAATGAGGCATTCTATTTCCAATTGAATTTCCCGCCGAGTTTTATGAATCTTCGTGCTATTTTACATAAGATACAAAACAGTGAGAGATCTTCAACGTGAACTCAGCAGAAAAAGAGAAAAAATGAGGTTGTGAATTGGAAAGACAAGAAGGATATACGTTTGAAGAGTACAGTCCATAATAACTCTATGATTGATGTTGAACACGGAAAAGAACTTTAAAAAAACCAACAATTGTAAAAGATTACAGCAACAAAATGGGAGGAGTGGACCGCCTGGATCAGATGTTACTAAATTAATCCTACTGTTAGAAATAAGCAAAGGTATTATTACTTTTCCATTATGCTTTATTTCCTTATAATTTTATTTAATATTCATTTCCATTCATCCGCTACGAAAGTTATGTATGTACAGAGAATACAACATTACACCCTGCGAAAATCAAAGGGCCGCTAGGGAGAAATTTTCGCGGACAGGAGGGGACTGCGAAAGGGTTAACAATATAACTTTTCAGGTAGATAGAAAAATGAACATTGCATTTTAGTAACATGTTAAGTCTCACCTACTGTGGCTTTCTACGGGTTCGTGAATTTAGAGTGATTGATGATAACACTTGATAAAAACATCAAAACATAATTTATTCCCCAGTATTACACATAAGAGTTTCATAGACACGTTTACAGCCGTAAAAAATCTACGATAAATACGCTCAAACAATCAACAGCACAGCCTTCACGCTATCAGGCTATAACAGTGAAGACAGCTTCACGGCATAGCGCTAAAGTACAGCTTCCAACTCGGTCGATCGCTCTCGAGCTGTTCTCTGAACTCAAAACACTACTACCGAAGTCTACATGCTACTTGAGATACTCCTCGTGCAGGCAAGGTATATATAGCTTTTGACCTGCCTTCGAGCACATTCTCAGGAAAACAGGTAAAAATTAGTTTTAGAATGTTCTCGTTCCGCCTATGGCATATGGCCAATTTGCATCCAAATGTCGCCAGACGAGCAATTTCGTATCAAATCTGGCAACCTTCACTTTCCTTGACACTCTCTGGCAACCTTAAACCCGCTTTGCAGGGAAGATATCTTAACCGTAGTTGGACATTTCGCAACACTATTTTAGAAGCATAAATTGACTTGAGATTCAAGCTAATGCTAAGCGATTTATAGCTTAACTTGAAACTCAAGCAGAAGCTAAGCGACTTTTGGCTACATTCAGTACGAAGAGATAGAAATGTAGGAATGGTTTATATGACTCATCATCTGAGTTCTGGGTCTTGTAGATCATATGCATACGTTATTCATATGCACATATTTACTACTACTCCCAAAATAACAATTATATTTCACTTATTTACAGAAACTATAATTTTAATTGAAAAACATTTTAACTGTTTTAATTATATCTGGTGTTTTATGTTCTTTTATTTTTTCTTCAATTTTTAACGAATTTTTATTATTAACGAATTTTTTAGAGTTTTTATGAATTTTTGCCTTACGACGAAGGGAGAACTGAATTAATTTAATGAGAAATATATTTCTAATGAAATTCAAAGAACTACGTTTTAAATGAAATGCAGCAAAAAATGTGTATAATTTAACAGGCCGTACTAGGGCGTCATGTGGATGCCACATCAGATTATTTTATGTACTTCTTCTTACAGTATCAGAAGTTATGGGACACCATGCATTCTGTTTAGTATTATAACAGTAATTAAAGCATATGCCGCAATACGTTAAAATCCCCTTCACTACCATAACACTAGTTGGAGCACATGCCAAGTTACACTAAAATTTATTTCCGACAACATTTTAACCTTGAATGGCGATACAGCATTGGGATTTCGTTCATAAGTTAAACTATAAAAGTAGCAGTACTTTGTTCATCACTTTTTTTGTTGCTTTATATCGGTTTATATAAGACGCCTAAAAGTATATACATAAAAGCTTGGGAATGTAACTTATGTGTCGAATCGTACGTTTTTGTTCCACACTGTTGGTTTTATCGATCGTAGCTTTAACGTACCATGATAGTTATTGAGAAGTGATCTCAAAATTTCAATTTAGGAGGATCTTACATTCCTCGCAAACCCAAAACTGCCGGAAGCATCAAAAGGAAAGCAAGCGAATGTTCTTTCCCCGCGTTTGCAAATTCTTTAAAACTTCAGTTGGAATTTTACGCTTCCTCGAATTTTACAGGTCTGCGATTCCTAAAGAGTCAACGTTGCAGTCTGGAATTATGGAACTACCTGCTCTTTAATACTTGCTGCTGACTCACGGCTCATAAATCGAATAATTAACGGACCATGTGGAGGGTTTGCATTAAATGGGTGACCGTGATGTGATTACTCACAAATATGAATCTCCATGCATAATATTTTAAAAGCAGAGTGTTGGTGGAATCTTTCATGCCGATTCATTAAGAATTCTTTAATGACTCCCTTTAGAATGCTGATAATTTACACGACTCAATTAGACTGAATAAAATATGCATAAATTATATTCTTCTGATTTTACATTTATTGAAGACTATAATTAAATTTACATTTATAATTTGCATTTATTGAAGACTATAAATTAGACTATAAATACTCTTTAGAGTGAATAGATTGAAAATGAGTATTATAATAATACTAGCTTTACCCGCGGCTTCGTTCGCGTTGATGTCCTTAATAAGTTTCAACTCCGCGTGAATTTTAAAAATACACTCCGCGTAAAATTTCAAAATAAAGAATATTGGATCGCCTTAAAATTATAAAACAATATTTTTATCGCACACAGTAAAATGTAAAAAATATAAAAGTACGTATAAATCCGTCAACTTTGACTTTTTCGCCAACCCAAAGGTCGACCGGATACCAGCTCCGCCTCCCTCCGTCGCTTTAGAATCGCAGCCTGTCAACAAAGAGTTAACAATGGGAAGCGGAGTATTGTTTCATCTGGATATAATTAAGAGACAAAAACAGTTACAACACTATTGTTCCTATCATTCAGAGAGCGACACAATATTCTAAATTACGAGAAATTTGGATAATTAGATCAAAACCAATTTTTGGACCCACATGGGAAGATCTAAGAAAAAAAAAACCCTAATGTCGCTATTAAGTCGCATTCAAATTAGCGTTTTTAGAGTTTCTAATTAATATCTCTGCTGATTAAAGTCGTACGAAAATGAAAATGGTATCGATGGATTCCGACGAATTTTTGGAATCAGGGGATATGTGTCTCCAAATTCAGCTAACCGCCGTTCCATAGATATTTGTGAAAATATAAATTGGCGCATAGCCAAATCCCTTTAATAGGGGAAAACCCATCAAAGTAAGTGAAAAATGTAGGGGGAAAGCAATTTTTAATTAATATCTCGGCTAATTAAAGTCGTCCGAAGACATTTTATAGCCTATAAACGTTTCTAATATATCAAAAATAATTTTTGAAAATTTCATGATGATAGGTTAAGTAATTAAGGCGTGAAAGCGTAACAGACAAACAAACACACAAAAAAAACTCACATTTGCATTTATAATATTAGAAGCCTATTTTCACTCATTCGTAGATTCAATACTTGCTGGTGTTGCTGACTAATGCTCAATTGTCTGACCTATAGTCAGCCCAAGCAAACGAAATTCCTCGTGGCAAATTTCGAATTTTTTTACTATCCATTTCATATTTTTTAAAACTTTAAGGCATTTTTGATTAAAAAACTTAACGATTTCAAACTGAGCTCTGGTAACACTGCACGGAATAAAGCATCTTTGTTTCCAGAGTGCGAGACTGTCAATCAGATATTCTAAAGACATGATGTTTTTAAATATTTTTAGCCCAAATGCTGTCGAAACGTGTATATGTGTGTGTGTAAATAAAGAAAACGTCCGTTTGCGCGCGTAATATTGGTATATGTATTGGTGTGTTTAATTATGGCAAAGCACACTAGGGCTATCTGCCTAAGGGAGAAATGCCTTCGTGGAGGACTTTCTAAACTCGAATACTGGCTCGTATACACGTTACACATGGGGAAAACCACGAAAACACCCATGCAGCCAGCCCGTTCGCGGGATTTGAATTGCCGTTCGGCCGCTGGTGGGCCCATTGCGCGCGTAATAAGTTTTAATTTTTAGTTTTTATTGTTACATTTATAACTTATTTTTCGACATAATAACATTGAAATAAACCAAATCAGCGGTTGATTCTCGAAATTAGTTAACTGTTTTTCTTTTTACCGTTATATTTGATACAATTCTTCTGCTTTTTCGATTTTCGTAACAACATTAATAACAAAATTTACTCGAGAATACCAGTTGCAAATTTAGCATATCTCTAAAACACCTCAAAAAGTCCCAAACGTTTGTCTTATTATGGCAAAAACAGTTTTATCCGAATTTGAAACGGAAACGATACGCTTTAGGAAACGGAAATATTAGTAATGGGTATTAGTTTTCAAATGTAATGAAAATAATTTTGAGCGTGATATAAAACTCTAAATAATTTACGAGTACTTTTCCCTTTTCATAAGCGGAAATTTGTTATACTATTTCTGGAATTTACAATTAATATTTATGCTTATATCACGTTTTCTTTATAATTCGTTACAGATCCTCCTGGAACTCCCGTCTTACGTGTTGCTTCCGTAGCTGCTACCTCTGTGAAATTAGAATGGACGACACCAGACTCAACTCCAATACAAGGTAAGATACTATGCAGGAAATTGTACACCATTTAATGGTACATATAAAGCTAATGTCTATGAATCGATTGCTATATGCAATTTCATATAAGCCTATGCTCATTTTAAGGTACTATTTCTCCCTCCTTCCAGCATGCCTTAGTGGTGTAACGGTTAACACACTCGGAGCGTATTCGAGAGATCCAGGTTCGAGTCCCGGCAGGGGCATTGCATATGTTTCACGTCTTTCAGAAGAAAAAATAATCTAACATCTCTAAAGTGCCGCCCGAACTAAATGATGGTGGATGATAATTCTTCACCACCAGGAATTGGCGATTGTGTCCTTTTATCCCTAGTAACCCTTTTAAAGGGGGAGTATATGAGGTATTTCTCCCCCTTGTCCCAGCATACCTTCGTAGTGTGTCGGTTAGCACACTCGGCTCGTATTCAACAGGTCCAGGTTCGAGTCCCGAATAGGGCATTGCTCATTTTTCGTGCCTCCTGCTTAAAAATAACGTAATGAATCTACAAAATAAACTGTATATTGAACCTTTCTTGGTAAACTTACAACTTTATGATCTGTTCTTACTCTCCTTTTTCCATCTCATATCTCTATTCTGTAATTCTTCATTCTTATGACATTCCAAATTGAAATTAATTTAATAAAGTGGTGGACAATAAGAATTTTTTTAAGGTTATAAGGTATTTCTCCCGTCTTCTTAGCATGCCTTTGAGATGTAATGGTCAGCACGCTCGGCGCGTATTCGAGAAGACCGAGGTTTGAGTCCCGACGTGAGCATCGCGCATTTTTTATCTCTCCTGCTTTTAGAAGAAAGCCTAATATCTCTACAATGGCGCCCCAAGCGAAAAGGTTGTGAATGATTATTCTCCACCACGAGGATTTGGCGAATGGGTCTTCTAATCCCCAGTCGCACTTTAAAAGGGGGAGTATATAAGGTATTTCTCCCGTCTTCTTAGCATGTCTTCGTGGTGAGCACCTCCAGGTCAGCACGCTCGGCGTGTATTCAAGAGGTCTGAGGTTTAAGTCCCGGTGAGGGCATTGCACATTTTTCATCTCTTCTGCTTTTATAGATTTATACTGACTAAGGTACTACTGAAACGCGGTTCATAAGTCTAGCAAATATATTTCGTAGTATATAGTATGTATATTTAATTCTAATTGAAAGAGATATATGCCAACGTAACAAAAATTTCAAACAATTCAAAAGCAAGAAACAGTAATTGCCGAAATCTACATCACACTAAGGTATTTCTTTTTCCTAGTTTCAATTAAAGAATTTTTAGCTAACACCTTAAAGTATTTCTTATAAAATACAGTACTTTCTCAAGTAAAATGTTCCCGAATATCATACTGGAATAAAAAAAAAGTAAAGGAAATTTTTTATCGACAAAGTTTTTTTATAGTGAAATGAGAAACTCATTAACGAAGAAATTTATTGTTGAAATGAAATATGAAATTCTAAATGCATACGAACTTCAGCTCCATTATACGAATAAATATGTAACCGATAGGAAATATACCGCATACGCTTTTCAGTAAAAGATTTTGAGATAACCGGAAAATGTTTTCTGCGAAAGAAGATTTATTCTGTCAAAATAAATAAATATCATTAACGGGATTTTATTTGATACTAGCGTCAACTATGAATTTTCAAATTTATCTGTCGCTTCAATTACTCACTCATTCTCAATTTACTCCAGTTAATATTTTGCATCTTTTATAAAGCACGTTTAATTTACCTACGGAGCTGAAGTTGAAAGAATGTACACATTACGAAAACATTATTTATTTTGTAATTATATGCGTTAATTTGTAACTAGATGCAAGTTAGTCTTTTCTCCACGTTTTAATTTATTTCCTACAATTTTCTTTTATGTTTTCTAAATTAAGAGTAACGTATTAAGAAAAATTAAAAGTAATTATATTCAATATAAACTAAAGCATCTCTTTGCATACTTTCAAGAAAGCATTTTGTGTAAATTTATATCCCAAATATCACGTACTTAAAGAGATTCCGAAATTTATTTATTAATAAATAAATTTTCTTTTTATTCTGAAATGCAAGTACATATTTCATCATTACATGAATGTTAAATTATTCTAATCATATATCATATTAATAAAAAAGAAAATTCAGAAATATCGTCTCATGGGAAAATGTTTTCACGTATATATAAAGTAATATGAATATTAACATTACTACATATTCTCAATAAAAAAGTGTAAATGTAAAAGTGAGTTTAAATCCCTTTATTATTTTGTTTCGTACATTCAAACCTTCCGGTTTACTCATTAAAAAGAAAATTAGCATACAATAAAATGCTAGGGATATTTACGGGATTTACATAAGCAGTACATTTTGCTTATGTTTTTCTATGCTGTAAAACTTTTATTTTCTGCCGTAGAATTTCAAACATCCGTATTATGTTGGACCGCAATACATTCGAATATTAAAATAAAATAAAATAACTGGGTTATTTTTTTAAACAGAATTTGTATATTGCTGAAATTTATGTAAATATTTGTTTCCTTTTGTTTGGATTTTGTTCTATACTTATTTTAATATATATCTTATTATTTTGCATTTATTTTGTGTTTATTTTTATTTATTTACTTACGACATTTAATGATGATGATATGATTTTATGTACATTTACCATACGCTTTATGTAATTCGTAATTTATGATAATTTATTTGCATTTGCAAGTATTTCCTTCGTTATTGTTTAATGGAGCATTTAGTATAAGGTATTTTCTCCGCCCTTCAGCATGTCTTCGTGCTGTAATGACAGCACACTCGGAATGTGTTCGAGAAGTCCATGTACGAGTCCTGGCAAGGGTATGGCTGGCTCATTTTTCACGTCTTCTGCTTCGAAAAATTCTAAAAAAACTCTATATGTGTTGCTAGAGCTAAAAGGTGGCGGACAATAATTCGTCACCACCAGGATTTTACAACTCGGTCCCCTATCCCCCAGTCGCCCTTTAAAAGGGGGTATATAATGTATTTTCTACCTCCTTCCAACCTCCTTTTTTGGTTAAACGGTTGCGCACTCAGCGCGTTTGAGAGCGCAGGCGGGAGTCCTGGCGAGAGCACTGCTCATTTTTCATGTCTTCTGCTTCGAAAAGTTCTAAAATACACTACATTGTAAGGTTTATCCTAAGTATTTAACAGTTATGTTTAGTTAAAGCTAGTTTCCTGTTCCCTTCTAATTTCAGCTTATAATTAACTGCCAGAGTGTGTTTTTAGAATCGCGGTTAATGCAAATGAGTAAGAGCGGTATTTAAGTCGAAGTTCCACTGACTTCGTTAGACAGCCAGAGATTCTGACTAGCGTGCGTTTGCCTTTTGGCTACACGCTTTCTGAGATATTATTACGCTTGGCCCTATTTCAGGCCCTTGATAGCTTCACCGTTTAGTTAACATTTAGGGTCAACTCCTTTAGAATTTTAATAGCTTCGACTATGTAATTGTAGTTAAACATTAGTTAAGTTTGATTTCTAAGTACTCTTGAGTTCAAGCCCAAGTGGAGGCTTTTCTGTACGATCTAAGGCAAAAAAGCCGTCTGTAAATTCTTGTTTTGAGAAATAAGGGTAATTAACCCTTCTTGAGTTTACGTTTCTATGTCCTGAGCTAAAGTGGTTATTCGCTTACCAGTTCACGAGGTTTTACACATCGCCCTATATAACACATAGGTAACGAACTAAAAGGTGGTGGACAATAATTCGTCACCACCAGGATTTGGCAAATGGGTCCCCTAATACCCAATCGCCCTTTAAAAGGGGGTTATATTAGGTATTTTCTTCGTCCTGCCAGCATGCCTTTGTGGTGAAACGGTAGCACAATTAGCGAGTAGTGCGTATTCGAAAGGCCAGGTTCGAGTCCTGGAGAGGGCATTGCTTATTTTTCACGTCTCCTGCTTCAGTAAAAATCCTAATTTCTCTTAAAGTACACAGCTCTTAGAATTGTAAAAAAAAAAAAAAAAAAAAAAAAAAAAAAAAAAAAAAAAAAAACTTAACAAGAGCGAGGAATATGGACTGAAAACCACTAGCAGGCCTTGGCGACACAGATTGTCACAAGAATTTGTTAATTTTCCATCAGTTTGACGACAGCTGGGAAGTTTCTAGCGAGAACATTTTGATTTTCGAGAACTGATATTTCTAGAAAATTGTTTCTGGGAAAATAGCTTCCTTCATCTCTTTATGCTTTAGATAGAAGCTATAGGATTTGATTTAATTAAAAGTTATTGTTACATAAATGTGAATGAAGTTTGAATACTCAGTGTTGTTAAATATTCAATGATGTTAAGTACTCAATGAACATTACTCCGTAATATGTTATTTTTTGTGTATTATACAGTAGAAACGTCAGTAAAAAATTAAAATCGCCCTAATAGTTTAACCGCAAGTTTGATTTTACTCGGCCTATAAAGAACACGCGATTCGGGAAGTTATAATTCTGTACAATGCAATATCCATTATTATTTGATTTTTATATCAATCTTATATCAGCAATTTGAGCTACAAAGCCATTTGTCATATAAGTTATGTACATATTTCTCATTTCTTTGAAGTTACAGCCCTCTTTACCTTCCTCAGTTTTTTTTCATCGTCTCTAACGCCTTTGAACGACCTCTTATGTGCCGCCTAGTCGGTATGGTGGTCAGGGAAGCTGACTGCAATGCCGAAGGGCCTGGGTTCGAATCCCGGAGAAGGCATGGTTGTAACTATCCGTCTATCATAGGAAAGGCGATGGTAGCCCACCTATAAGTTGCCTCCATAATTATAAAGAGATCCCCACATCCGGCCCTGTATAGATCCGGACTGGGTCACATTTGTAATTGTTCACAATCTGACATTGGGAAACAAAATATCCATTATTATAGTTTTTTGGGATGAGAAACTCAAATTAATATTTCCCCTTGCTTTTACTAATTATCATCCAAAAATCGAGAGGGGAAAATTATACGAATAATTTAATTGCCAAAGAAAGCAGTTACAGTG